TTGCGAATACAATTACACCAAATCGCATCCTGCTTTATCCAGCCTACGACGATTTGAGTATTCATGTTGTCCTCTTAAGACCTATGCAGAATAAAGTTATCTTCAATGTAGAATTCAGCATCCTTATCCGGCTTTGCTTAGAATTTATATTAAAACCACATTTGGTCGTCCAGGGGCGGGTTGAACATTTTGAATAACTTAAACTCTGAGGTATTGGCAGACGAAGTTGTTAAATATTTACTTTGTTTTTTTTTGTTGGCTATGTGCGGCTGTAGAGTGACTGGGTGTCATCAGAAAATAACGGGTTTAGAGGGGAAAATATCGTTTAGCGCTGATAATAGACGCTCAGTGTTTGTTTGGTTGGTTGCCGAAGGGAAAGGCGTGAGCAAATCAGAGTGAAAATACTAGAAAAGGAGCAGGATAACGATTCGTTACTGGTGCAGCCTCCTCAAGAATGGAATGAAAGAACTTGAAGATTACAGAAATGAGTGCAGCTCAGGACTTCAGAAGGAATGAAGAGTTGTTATGATCATGGAAACTTTTAAACAAAATAAAGCACGGACAATCCTTTTTAGCTCAATATGAGTGAAAATGAAACGCGTTCGTCGAAACACGTTTTATGAGCTTGTCACATAGCAATGTTGACGTGCAATTTATGCTCGGTAGCACATATTTAACAGGTTATTTAGCCATAAATCTATCAGGCTTATCGATGACAAGTAGTTTGTACGATTAAAGAAGAACCAAGATGGCAAATCTTTTAATATTGGCGGGGCAAAGCTTACAGGAGCGGGTGCTTTACCGTGATGTTATAATTGATGAGATAAATTATTGATATTAGATTATTATTCCTCTCATTTTAAATTCACCTAATATAAATATGTAATAGAAAATTCACTTTCAAAAGCGTCAAACCCTTGATGGCACCATACGCGCGTGTAAGTTCCACTGCACGATAATCTTGTTACAGTTTGTGTTATATTGGGGGTTATGGAAATAGTGTCGACCATTTTCAAGCTCGAGCTAAAAACATATAAATATATAGACGCTTTTTACTTAAATGAATACGCGCCATTTAATCGATGACCTTCTGCCATTTTTTCACGATAGAACTGCAGTTGTTAAATGAAAAAACTATTTTTATATTTCTCTATTGAAACTAAATTAATATCGTCAGTGAGAGTTCGACACACACACACAGAGACTGAAACAAATAATAGTCTGATGATGCCAGATCCGGACGGATGCACTAAAATTGCCCATCCAAGTTTTTGCCAGATAGCTAAAAATGCATGTGGTCTGCATCGTCATGGTGAAAGACGACGCCTTTTTTTTTCCACTGTTTCCGCTTAAGTTTTAATAACGATAATGATAATAATAGCTCGTTATAATCTTGTTGACAGCAAAAACCCGAATCATTCTTTTTGCCAAGCGGCAGCAACTTATAACACACTGCTTCGTTTCGATCCGACCAAACACATGAAATCACCTTCTCTGTTGTAATTTTTCTTCATTTGCCTATTATTATTGTATCTGATCCAACACTCATCACCCTGGAACAACCGTTTTAACAATGGCTCGATTTCGTTGCGTTTCTGTTGAAGTGAAAATACGATCACGTAAACTCTTCTGCGTCGATCCGTGCAACACCCACACGCCGAGCTTCTGCTTGTAGCCAGCTTTCGCGAGTTACAGTAACCGGTTGCCAAAGAGATACGTATTATTAATTGCTCGAAGATCGTTCCAATAGACTAAAACGGTAAAAAAAGAAGGATCTATTAAACGGGAAATGAATGTCTTAAACAAATCTTGCATCCTTCCATTTAGTCCTAAATCACTTGGCTTCAGCGAAAAGCTTAGCTTTAAAGATATCTCATAGGTAAGGTCATTGCGTGTTGAAGAAGTGGTGCGTAGCACAATAGCGGGAAATCAAAATTTTCTATAGCTATAGAAGTGTGAATGAAAATAAAAACGACGTTTTAGCTCCCTGGGATATAAAAAGATTTTTTATCGAATAAAATTTTCAGCCCTTATCCAGCTAATGATCTCTTGCTGCAAGGTATAACAACCGCGGTTCACCTGATCGTTAGCGTTGCAGGTAAAGCACTCAGCGTATTACATAGTGCCCAAGCCGTTCTTTAAAAGCTGTTAGAGGAGGTACTTTTAGGATCGTGAGGCTCCTCGTGTGCGCGCCCTCAGCTCGTTGTGGTGTTTTAGATGAAAAAATACTTTGGCGACCACGTGGCAATCGGGCCCCGTAGTGGACCTGAACTCGGCTAATCATTTACGTCTAGAGATTACTCTTTTACATACTTAAGTATAGATTATACAGATCTTGCGATTTATTGATGAGCTCCATCTGGTTAGGACATCAAACCCAAACGTATCATGCTACAGATAGGTAAATTGCATTAATATAAAAGAGAGAAATACTTGTTTCGGAAGCCGCACATATGATACATGTAGGTGCGACTAAGATGATACATTCGCTGGAGATCAATTGTGGCAAAATAAAGAACAAGTAAGTAAGAGTGTTGCTATCGCTGTTGTTTGATTGATAGTATTATTTAATACTGCCTTAATTATGAACCGAGTTAGCAACAGTATTGCACACGAATGAAACACTCATTGTTGCAAAGTATAATAACAACAACAGCAACAGTAGCGATGGCTTAGCAAATGCTCCTTCCATTCGTATATAGCCAGATAACGGATATCTACATAAAATATGAATGAACTACTACGGTACAACGTAAACGGCTTGTACGTACTAGCATTGGCTACTAGATGCTACAAATATATCCAGCGGATAAACACAGACGGACAAACATACATACTCTGCATCATATAAATAATTGTCGTCGTCTCTTCCGCCGTGGCTACTACCGGCGCTTGATTTGGTAGCTCATCACAGAGCCCCCGAACCCCAGCCCCTCCCCTGTCCTCTCGCAACTCTCTCCCCGTTCCCTCAGAGTTACCCTCCACCCACAGTCCCCATTTATTCCCTGTTCCCCTTACCACCCCAAATCCCCTCCATCTGTCTAGTCGTATCTGTCAGCAACGCTCAAGCGCCACCAAGCGGACGTCATCGCAAGTTCTGCTGTCATTTACTGTGTTGTGTCTGCTTATATCTGACCGTGTGCGTGCGTGCGTCCGTCCGTCCGGGTGTGTGCATGTGTGTGTACATATGTGTGTGTGCGTGTTTGTGTGTGTGTGTATGTATGTGTGTCTGCTTGCGTGAATGTCGGGACGTTCGTTTGTCTGTGTTTCTATCTATCTATCTATCTATCTATCTATCTATTTCTTTCGGTTGTTGTTTGCTTGCTGGAGTGTGTGTGTATCCGTCCGTGTCTGTGCATGTTGTTCTTGCATTCGTTCTCTCTCTCTCTCTCTCTCTCTCTCTCTCTCTCTCTCTCTCTCTAGCGCGTTCTCGCTCGTTAGCAATCTATCAATGTGAGTGTGCTGCAACGCTGGGGGTTTTCGGTCTGCCGTCAGGCCGATGGGGTGGGGTGGTCCGAGACGGGTTCCTGTCGAAGCGCCCTCATAGCTCCTCGCGTTTTCCTCCTCTCCCGCCTGCTGCTACCACCACCGACATTGCGCCCTGCTTTTGGTCGTTCGTTTGTTCCTTCCTTATGTCGTAGAATTACACTCCAGCAAGTAAGAGTGCGGGTGTGCGTCTGCCTGCCTCCTGTGTATTTGCCTCCAGTATGCGTGGCCATGTGTAAAGTTGGCTAGGCCGTGTAAGTGTGCCTGTATGAGAATCTGATGGCCGATAGCCTATCGTTGCTTTGTCGCATGTCTCTTCGTGTAGTTAGTTGTGTGTTCGTTTGTCCGCTGTGTGGCTGATTGTGGTTGTGTATCTCTGCACGTCTGTGTGTGTGTGTTATGAGTGAGTGTGTGTTAGTTGTGTCTATGATCTGTGTCTACGGCGCTGTGCATGTGTGAGCTGCTCCTCTCAGCTCACCGCGTCTCCCTCCCCACCCGATCGGAGCGGCCACAACGAGAGAAAGAGCGATAATGATAATAGAGTGAGAGAGAGGCACAGACCCGAACCGCGCTGCTGCCTCCGACTGTGCCTGAGCCACCATCAGCAGCAGCAGCAGCAGCAGCAGCATTGCCAGCGCCGGCCGGCCGGCCGAGCGAGCGAGCAAGCGAGCGAGCGAGCGAGCGACCGACCGACCGACCGACCGACCATCAGCCGGCTGCAGCAGCAGCAGCAGCCAGCAAACGAACGAACGAACGAACCAACCAACGGCAGTAGCAGCAGCAGCAGCAGCGGCAGCGGCGGCAACGATAGTAGCAGCCAGCGGCGGCCGAAGAATCAGAACGACAGCGGGTCAGAGCTCGAGCCTGCTGCCTGCAGACAAGCGGCTGCAGGAGTAGCTAGGCCAGCAAGCAGCCAACAAGCATCCAGCCATCCAGCCAGCCAGTTACAACTACTGCCACTAGCAGCGGCAGCGGCAAAGCGGCCAAACGACAGCGGCAACAGTCGTACGAGCGCGCTGCGAATAACAGACGGCAAAGGATATGAGAGACACACAGATTGACCACGGTGAACCGGAGCCCTAGTCATCGTAACAGCAACGGCAGCAGGCAACAGCGAGCCGTCGCCGTCCGACAACAGATTCTGATTCACACTTTTACCTATTGCTACAAGTAACAACAGTAGCAGTAGTAGTTGTAGTAGCAGCAGCAGCAGCTGCTGCAGCTGCAGCTGTGGCAGTGGTATTGTTTAGACGAAGTTGTGTTCTCAGTTACAAATGGTGAAGCTAAAGTGGCTGGTGGTTACAACAACTCGAACTTCCCACTGTACTGCCATCGCTGCTGCCGCCACTGCTCCCCTACGACTGCAGCTGGAGTGCTCAGCCACTGCACTGAAGTACTATTTCGACAACAACTAACACACTGACCGAGAGTAGTACCGTTGCAGGAGCTGTGCTGCTGCTGTTGTTGTTGTTGTTGTTGTTGTTGTTGTTGTTGCTGCTGCTGTTTTCGTGTTTCTTTGTTTGAGTCAGTGTTCGTGCGTGTATGTGTGTGTGTGTATGTGTATGTGCGGCGTAAACATTGAAAAAATCGGACCGTTCACTCAGCAACGGAGCCATAGCAAGAACGCGGCGACGGCGGCGGCGGCATCACCACCAGCACCATCGACATCATCACCACCACCACCACCACCATCATCATCATCACTGCCACCACCATCCATCGATTGTGGACTGTGACAACGAAAGAAATTATCATCAGCCAGCCGTCACCACAGCACCAATATTAGTGCTTTTACGCCGATGACGAGCGCTAGCCGCAATACGCTAGGCAACGAATGGCAATAGCGGCAGCGACAGCATCAAATACAACGGTAACCCGAGACAACGACGTGCGTGCGTGCATGCGTGCGTGCGTGTATGTGTGTGTTTGCTGTACTGTGGATTAATGATTAACACATACGTCGAATGCAGTGGATCGTGACCCGTCGCGGCTTGGCCGACTTCGTTCCGTGAGTCCGCAAGTTCGACCGACTTCTTCAGCAGAGTCTTTTGCGCCGCCAATTGGTACCAGTTGCCTTTCGATTGTTTGTGATGACTACTAGTTTCATCGACGACGCTCGCGTTCTATTGCCTCCTTTGGAATTCTCAACTGTTTTCGACAAACTCGTCTTAAAACAACAGGAACAACGACTTCTGTAGAGATAGTAACGACACAATACAATAACATCTGTAACCAGAAGGAAAAAGAAAATTTTTCTTTTTCGAGTTGAAGTTCCGGTACAAGCTGTTTTGAAGTAGGAACATTTGTCCGACTTTTCGATTCGGTCCCTTCGAGCTGCGACAATACGAACTCCGCTAGTAACCTTCTGACCCGCTGGAGTAATTCACCGTTTTGCTACTTCGTCGTCGTCGTCGTCGTCGTCGTCATCACCACCATCATCTGCAGTGTTGTTGTTGTTGTTGTTGGTAATGTGTTGCAAGTGGTGAAAGGAAAACAGTAATGTGATAGAGGCGGGCCATTTGCTGGGTGCCAATCGCTGAGACAAAATTGTGTTGCGTGAGTTCAGACTTCTTCTAATAATAATCGTACATAGAAACGGATTTATTAGCAAAAATAACCAGCGAACGGTTCCATAAGAGGAAGCGACGACTCCGAAAGGGTTTTCTCGAGGAACCTGTATGAAATCAAGGCATCTCAGCATTATAATAGTGCAACACGTCATGAGATTGATTTGTGTGTTATACGAGATTATCTCTCATGAGGGATCGGAATCGGATCGAGTAAGTGAACCAAAGTGATGAATCTTATTGAATTATGGTGAATTGGGTTGAAGTGCTGTAATGAACCCGTTGAGTAAACGCGGCAAAATCGCGAAACTTCGAAAACGATAGGAGTAGTTCGAGACGAAGCAATCGACGACGAATAAGCGGAACGACCTTAGTTCAACGTCACTATTGGACAGACAGCAAACTACAGCAGCGGCAGTCGCGGAAGAGGCAGAAAAGGGCGCGTCAATGCTTTCCCGCGCCTGAGTCCATCCAACCTCCCCAGCTCCGTCGATCGATTTCAGGTAATTTGACTTTGATTTCACGTAAGCATGGTATAAACGAGCTGCTATTGATGTACTTCTTGTGCAGTATTCGTCATGAAGTACACGGACTATCCACAAAACTGATATTCCAAATAATTCTATATATTAGTCGTGCAATGCCCGTATTTTATAGACTGTAACCGATGCTGGTTTCGATAATTCAACAAGCTGATCAACCTTACGGAACAGTTATGCTAAAAATATGATCTAGTAGTCTGTAATTATCGAAATTTTCAGAGTTAGAAAGATAAACTCTGCCCAGATGTAATGCTTTTGTAAAGCGGGTGAATGGCGTCGTTGATGAGGCGTGGAATGGATCCCGAAGTGTGGCCTCGTCCTACAGGCTATCCATAGCATCAATGAGGATTGACCTCTACTCTGTTCGTCGTCGCCATCGTCACCTTGGCCATTGGACTGCTTTTGCCTCAGCACGATTTGTCCACACAGATTCGCGAACCAACGACGACTATCGTCAGACACAAAGGCGTGTTATACTTCATTTTTTTAACGCATCTGGCTGTTATGTTACTGTGTGACAAAGTCCTCAAAATCACTTTTTCGGTAGCGTTATAAGCCTTGAAGCAAAACACGTGCTATACGGCGTTCGTTTGAGCACGGCTCTCGGGGTGACGTCATTGAAAAAGAGGAAGGAGGTAATCTCCTTTCCGGAGGCAGGTCGGCATGCCGTTCGCTGCTGACGATTTTTGTCTGCACGTCCGCGTCTGAGTCGGATGTCGGTTGCTGATACTGCTGCCAGCTACACGGCCCGGTGGCTGTTTAGTGGTTGGTCCCCCAACTAAAAGGGTGGGGAACCCGGTGGTCGTAATGGTAGGGCAACGGCCTGCCAGCCAGCCTTACTGCCATAGCTTGCCCTCCTGCTCACTCAACATGGCCGCTTGGTCGAAGGCTTTCCTCTCTCGGCCACAGCGGGCCAGTAGTAACAACAGCCATAGCAGAGAACTGCACTGCTCTCGGCACTGCTTTGGCTCGTATGCTTTACTCTGCGCGCTAGCTCAATACCGTGTAAGTCTGTTCTCGATGTTGAGCTGCGGCTGCTGCTGCCGTTAGCACAGCTGCTGCCCTCTGCATCCTCAGAGCTACGATGGCGGTGGTGAGGCGCACCATCGTTTCGTTGGCAAAGCAGAGGGCTACCAGGGCAGACCAAGCCTAGAGACCCAGCTAGCTTAACACTATAGGGAAGCCTCCAACTCCGGCCCAGTATTCACTCTCGCCCGCTCTCCATCCTGACTGAGGGAACGCTGCAGCCCTCGCGCCCGCTCCGCGCGGGACCGCTCCGTTTCTCGACTAACTCCCAACTTCATTGAGATCTGCTCAATTGTAAGCTCTTTCTGTTATAGTCGCAGCGGACTATTCGCTGCGTGTACAGTGTGCGCTCGACACTCGTCGTTGCTTGCGACCACTTCTGCTGTTGCTCCATTGGGATGAATTTCTGCTTAAGTTAATGCTGAGGACGAAATGTTTGTGTTCCTGGCTGAACGTGTGTTCTGCTCTCGAGCGGAGTTCACCAAGACAGACGGTAGATGATCAAATGGTCCTTGCACAACTTTCTGTTTTCGATAAAGATAAAAACGGAGATGAGTTAGTGAGACAGAAAGAAACGCCGTTATCACTGTCGTCAGCATTAGGGTCGGCAAGAGCGCCAGGACTCACCGGACTGCTGTAATGGCCAATGAGTTCATTATGGCTCCACAAATAGACAGCCAACAAAAAGCAGCCGCAACTCCTTGCACAGTAATCGTCGGCTTCTATCTAAAAGTAGACGCATCTACCTTTATTCAGTAAAAGGAGTGTAATTTTCAGTATATAGTATCCAATCCGAGATAAAACAGCGATGCTTCGCTTTCTACAAAATAGGTCTCTACTGGAAAAACATAATCTGGATTAACAAAAAAAAAACGGAGGGAATATAGCAGTCAGTTCAAAAGCTATCCTTTACTATTATTATTATTATTATTATTATATATGTCGAAGCCAACGAAATTAGGAAACAAATATTATTTAAAATTAGGAAACCGAAAGTCCAATACTCGTAATGATTAGTGAATAGCGTTCACCCAGTTGGAAAACGGTTTATATATATATATTGGGCCGATTTTCTTAGCGACATAAATTTCAACAAACAAAAGGCATACATTCAAGAATACCGTTGTTAAGTTGTATGTATATGAATATTCAATACTGTGTATAACTGTGCCTGTAAAATTTTTCTCCTGTACCAAAAAGGACATTGGCTTGACGAATCTGTCCCTTACCAGTGTAGCTTTCATTTGTTAGCTATGCTAAGTATTGGGAAATTAACAACGAAATAGGAACAACCTTAATAAAGAAATTACTTATTAGAAGTCCGTGCCAGATTGCTGACCGTTCGACCGGACCTACTATATCAGGTTCATCGCAGACAAGATAGCTATCTGTTTACCCTTGATATCCTACTGTAATAGCTCCTCTATTATACCCTCAAGATATTTTAGGGCTTATTCCACGACGAACGATCATATTTTACTGGGTTCCGTAAATTACGTCCAGTTTGATTTTGTCCGGTTTAAATTTGAGTTAATCGTTCAGACTTGTCTAAATATTTTTAATATATCAATAAAGGCAGTGAGCTGCTAATACTTGAAAACTGCATTGTCACGGTATGTTCCGGCTAAAGAAGACTACAGACCTCAAAAACATTTTCGCTTTGGCTAGGTCGATAACCGATCGATTTCGGCTCTAAGATGAACTTAGTTTCGGCCGTATTTCTGCGAGCGTCTCGCGCCAGCGTCGCGTCAGCAGATGGTTCTTCACTTCGCTGCTGGTTTACATTACTACACATTTCGTTAAAAGTGCTCAGTAGATCTTTGTTAAGTCTTTAACAATCATTTCTGATGCACGAGCTTCGTTCTTTTATGCTTCCAGATGATCCAACTGTTGCAGCTCGTGCCACAGCACGCGTGTGTATACACTTGTGTTCGTTGATTATTATCAAAGCTATCGTCGCATAGCTATGCTACAAGACACAGTACAATACACTCTCCATACGGGATCTCTGCTCGATAATCCGCATTTTATGTCTGATGTTCCAACTGTAGCACTAAGTTGAACTAATAATATGACTAGCGGCACAATCAGACACAGATGAAACGAGTCACTTGTCGATGCTCCCTTGTTGGCTTTGAACCCGATGCTGTGGAGGCAGCGACGTTCAGATCGGTCGAGTCTGTCAGTCTGCACATTTTCGAGTCAGCGATTGCTAATCGGGATTCCACTTCTCTAAACCGAAAGACAGACCGGCTTCAAAGCAAAAATGTGAACCACATCAAACAAAAACGCTACGGGACGACTTGTTCGAGCGATGCGAAAGTGTAATGCTCATAGTTAGTCCTGCAGCAGAAGGCAGCCTATATGTAGACATGCTTGTGTGCCACACATCTATAAACGTAACTCGAAATCCTACTTTGTCTAAAACTATCAAGTTTAGCTAGGTGAGATAATGGAACGCAGAAGATATAACGGCCTCATTAACTTTCATCGATACGACCTTTAAATACTGATCATGAGACGCTCACAGTAAATTCTAAATAAAATTACGAGGATATTTATCTCTTGGTGGTATTTCAATGTTGAAGCGGTCGACTCCCAGTAGAAAATCTTCGTGTTTCCCAAATGGTCAGCCCCTCCCTGTACGTATATTGTATTGCTTTCTAATTCATAAGATAGTCCCTCGCAAACGTGTATAATTGTAGTTTGATTTGTGGTTGTTTGTTAGGCTGACCGGCTTTCAGTGTTCTATCACGATTAGATGTATTTTCGCGGCGATGAAAACCCAGTTGTCTCTCTTGAACGAAACGCCACCGATCGATCAAGGATACTCTCTGATACCCCCCGTATAAAATCTACAACGAAGAACACATTTCAGACATGTTCATGGATTGGTCTTATTGAAAGCGCTGTCCAGCTTTGCTACCCCACCAAAGAAAAACCCAATAGCTCATCAACAATATAAAAGGACGAACTTCACTGAACTGACCAAAAAATACCTTCTCCAAACGCATATAAGATCATCAACTTAAATGTTTATCGAATAGAAATCAAATATTTACTGTTCAGGATGAAGCATGGCCTTGTAACATATTCAGAAGATAGTATTGGCCTCGAATGTTTTCATTACAGCATCCATACTTTATCGAGGCGATGATGTGTGCGCAGTTGTTCAGTCAGTGTTTGTTCGCCAGAATGCTATGTGTGAAATCACATCACATTATAAAAGGTTCCCTTTACAGAGCATCTCCATGAAACACATTTGTATGTTTTTTTCGTCTGCTTCTGTATGCATAAAAGAATACATCTTGAGAACATAAGAGTGCTTTTCCTAGGGTCAAATGTGAAGTTGGTCTGCGAACGTATTTACTGTATAGGGACTGGCCTTCTTTAGCTAGAGGGGTTAGAAGAGGGATCTCGACGTGTGGGCGAAAGGGAGACGTTATTGAAGTGCTCACAAGTGGCCTTACCAAACCAGTGGTGATTTGTAGTGGTCAAGTCCTATTAAACTAGGGCGGAATGGCCGGAAGTAAATGGCAACATGTTGAGACACGCCGCATTAGAGAAGTAATGTCCTTTCGACCCCATCCCTCTATCGTTGTTTCCAGAAACGTGGGTACGTGAACCTATTGTGACTGTTATGATAGTTAAGCGTACGAGTGGTTACCAATTAGAGACGCATAGAGGAAAGTAGAACTTCTCAGTGTATTACGGTATTGTGAAAGCGACTTTTCTCAGATTATTCCTTCATAACACATTTCACGAAAAACATGCAACGTAACGCCACTGCTTAATAAGTATATTGGTCTAACAGTTAGAATACGGCAACAGATGTATCACATGACTAATATCGAGCTGAGTGCCTAGTTTCCTTAAATTATCATTATTTAGATAGAAAAAAATAATACTATGATACGAATAAATGTTCCTATCTG